ATCTTATAGGACTGCTGCACTTTTATTAAATTACCATAGTTTTATGTTAATCCGTATTGTTTAAAATTGAAAGTGTACTTAGATTCAGGATATTGGTTTTGATCATACAAAGTTATGTCAGTTTAATTGTTTCTATAAAATTAGATACTCAACTAATAAAGGTAAATACCCGCAATATTTGACCAAAATGATTTTGTATATTCCTTACATTGATTTTTTAATTTTAATTTCAAATGATTTGCCGCCATTTTTCAAAAATATTTAAAAAGTTACTAACAAAGGTAAATTTGATTTTTTTGCGGGATTTTAATTAATATTTCAGGTAAATACCAAACTTTTTACATAGATATAGATTACTCATTAAATAATATTTATAAATTAAAAATATGTAATCAATATGTAGTACATTTTACCTATATTAATTTAGAGTAATGTTATATGTACATAATGTTGTACATAACACTCACATTGAGTGGGACCCACTAAAATTTAAAAATCAAGTGGACCCCACTCCATGTGAGTGTTATGTACATCTTTATGTATATTTATTATGTACATGTAGCATTTTTCATTAATTTATTGAAAATGTTACATAAAATTTAAAATTTTATAAAACACGTCTTCAGATGGAAACTTACATTATATTCTATTATGTAAAAAAAATCATGTAAATTAAGAAACGAAAAGACACTAAATCTTTATAAACGGAAAAAAACTAAGCTTACGTATTTAAAAAAAATAAAATGAAAAATAAATTTTTGTTTATATTCTATTATATTAAGTGCACCTTACATAAAATTAAGAAACGGAAAGACATTCTTTGTTAATATTCTAATATATGTAAATTATGTTTTTAGATGGAAAAAAATCATGTAAGTGAAGCATTCCAAAAATTTTTACATTTACATCAAAAAATTTTAAAATTCGAATTTAATGATGTAAAAGCGGGATTTTTCAAAAAAATGTAAAAAAATTTACCAAGATTAGTAAATTTGAATTGTTTAGGTGGGAAAATAGTTACTTTTTTAGGTAAATGTCAAACCTTTTTATATTTATATAGATAACATTGAGGGTGTATAGATATATACGGATATTTGTACTTTTAAATTAATATAAAAAAGAACGTTTGGTAAGTCAATTAATGCTTATTTGTACGGATATTTGTATAGATATATACAGATATTTGTACCTTTAAATTAATATAAAAAAGGAAATTATGTGCAATTAATGTTTTTTTTTTGTTAAATTATCATTTATAGGCAGTAATTAATGTTTTTGGCGGGAAATAGTTTCTAAAAATTAATTAAGTTAATCCTTATTATATATTAATAGATAATCTATTACTAATTTGTATACTATAACAATTTTATTGTTAAATTAATTTAGAATAGTTTTATATTTTCTAACTAATACTAATTAGTAATTTAATTTTTATTATAAAAATGAATATAATTATTTATTTATTTTGTAATATACACTATAGATGTCTAATCTCTAAGATACAATTAATTTCATGTATTATATATGTTGACGAGCGTTTTCGGTCAAGGGTTAAAATGGAGAATATTGGAAGTGTAGGACTGGAAATAAAGGAAAGATATGGTTTAATCACAATTTTATTAAACGATCACGAGGTCGGTCTCTCGTACGAGGTCGGCACTCAGGGACGGATGCACATACATGAGTGGGGGGGCCATGGTCCCCCCCAATTTTTTTATTTTTTTTAATACTATGTATATAGAATGTACAGTATTATGTATATTTAATTATTTTGCCCCCCTTAAAATATAAATTAAACTAAATGATATTAAAAAAAATAGAAACACAGTCACAATTCCCGAGGCACGATTCCACTTACCTTACTTTTCCTTTAATAAGCATATATAATATGTAATATAATAAATTAACTTAGTTTATTATTTTTTAAACTATTAAAGAAATAATTAATGTAAATCAAAAAAAGTCGGGAATTGGGATTCTCGGCCACTAAACATTTGAGAAAAACTTGAGAGCAGAAAAACTGGACAACCAATTGAAAGAAAAAAAAGAAAAAAAAAATATCAATTGAGATTTGAGGCATCATCTTATTGAATAATTTGTAAGTACTTTTTTCAATATCTTTATTTACGATCTTATTTATTTGTTCCTTTTGAGCCATTTAAGATTTAATAAAGTTGAATGTATGAGATTTCCTCTACTGTTTGAGCTTCATTGAAAATATTTATATATGTACTGAAAAGCAATTAAATGATTGTTAAGTAGTTTGAATTAAATGTGAATTTTAGTAAAAAAATTTGTGGAGTCCTCCCACATTATACGGTGGTCCAAAATCAAATGGAAGAAGTGTATAGACTATTCTTAAAAATCTATAGTAGGTTTTTATTTATGAATTATAAAAATGTTGGTGTACTTGTTACTGCCAACTTAACATTGAACAAATATACATAGCCCAAGTTTACATAAAAATATATGTCTTTATCGAAAAATATTTCGTCCCCCCCCAATTCATTTTTCTGGATCCGTCCCTGTCGGCACTTGTGATATACTTACAATTTTTACAAGGGAATTCTTACAGTTCTAGAGAGAGAAAGTAGAAAGAAGCTAGGGTTAGTTGAGGATTCAATAACCCAAAATAAATGAAGTAAGTTGCTATTTATGTGTCCTTAAATGGGGTATTGTTCACCGGTCTTGTCGCACAGTAGGTTTGCAGAGCAGTTCGGCGCCTCCCTAACAGTTAATTAATGCGATTTGAGGTTTCTTCAATCATTGCCTGTCAAGCATTTAATGCAAGCATGAGGAGCATTTAATGCTGATAGGCTTGCTTGTTGAGTGGTTGACTATGACAGCCCGTCCCATCACCGAATGATGACCTTCCAAGTGGCGAGTAGTTTAATAGCGTCGAGATCGACATCTGCCTTCCGACGGGGCGGCTCTAACTTATTCAGATCGACACCTTCTCTCAGAGGGTTCGCACGATCCAGGTGAGTCTTTTATCAGTACGGCACTTTGATGAGACCGGCCCGGCACCCTACTGAGCCAAGTGCCGGGCTCGGGAAACATTCCCGTCAACCCGGGCTGCGTATAATTCCCCGACTCGATTCGCTCCCGCACTCTTGATCGGCTCGGCACCTCGGTCATACCCGGTTCACGGGGCCGATCTGACCGGACCGATCTGGGTGTCAACAATATATAAAAAAATTATAACAAATAAATTTTTTATTAACTTTTAATACATTTATAATTTAGGTTAGTAATTGTTGTATAATTATAAAAGAAATATGAAGAAAATAAAAAGATTGGGGTAAAAAAATTATGTATTATAAATCACTTCTAGATTATGAAATGATATTAAAAAATAATCAACGCCTTAAAAAGGATTATAAATATCCAGTACATTCATGAATATTCTAAGCCTAGTTATTTTATTAGAAGTAAATTTAAATATATCCGAACCAAATGACAATGCATTAAAATTTCCATATAAGATTTCAAAAGCGTGCGAGCCTACCGCTTAGACTTATCACGTTTGAGAAATTATATACATGAGCGATTTCACATAATTTAGATAATTCATTTTCATATTCAGTTTGACATAAGTACAAACTCAGCTCGACATGTTAATTCTAAATAGCTAAATGACTTGTTTTAAAATAAATTTGATCGGATTATTTAGTTTAAAATTGAATGGTTTATGGATAAATCATGTTCATATTCGTTGTGCCTTACGAACCAACTCAACTCGACATGTGAATTCTAAATAGCTAAACGACTTGTTTTAAATAAATTCGATCGAATTGTTTCGTTTAAAATTAAAATGTAGTTTATGGATAATTTTGGCTTATTTAATAGACGAGCTTGATTTACTTTTACAAAATAAATAAATAAATAAATAGAAAATAAAATTGGGTTTACTTTCTACTCAAACGACTCTAATTTTCTTGATTTATGTCGACAGATAGACATATTTTAAGATGAGAGGAAGGAACTTCCCCATTGTTTTTGTCTCTATTTGGCCATTGATCCCATCTAGTAGGAATCTATATTCAAATAACACCTCTCAGTTGATATGAAAGAAATATTTCTCTCAATAGATTGATTCATTATGGGTTTTGAGAGGAATTGAATGAGTCAAGTTCGAACTTTCAAGAGTTAACCAAATTATTTC